TGTTTACTCCCCAGCATTATTCCTGAAAGTAGTCTAACTGAGAATTTCAGAAGAGACGTGAGTGTCGCTAGTATCCAATCTACGAAGTATATCATAACAACGCTAACGCTATTCAGTTCATAGATATTTAAATTATGTAAGTGCTTATGATCTTTCAATTAAATAATGTTTAGTGTATTTTAATTATTGTTAAATACTATTGTTAAATATAGTAAATAAAGGGTGATACGGTCAAAATTTGGTCAAGGGAAAACGCGTGTAAATCGGTGAAATCGTTTATTTAAAAAATCAAATTAAATTTCTTTTTCAAGTTCAATTAGTATAAAATTCAGGAAAAATATTCAGTTAGGCTTCCGCTTTTCCAAATCCGAATTGCCGGGCCTTACGCTTGACCCCTGCCATCAGATTTTGTACAGCCACCTTGTCCACCTTCTTCGCCGCAGAAAGCCAGTTTGCCTTGAACTGCTGCTCGCCCTTAGCAGTTTTTTTTTTTGGTTTTCTTTAGGTTCCGCTTGACAATAGCCCAGTATTTCTCAATTGGGCGGAGCTCTGGCGTGTTGGGAGGGTTCTTGTCCTTGGGAACCACCTGCAGGTTGTTGGCGGCGTACCACTCCATGGCCTTTTTACCGTAATGGCAAGATGCCAAATCCGGCCAAAACAGTACGGAACAACCATAGAGGTAACTCTAAGACCACTGGGTCCCGAAGAAAATCATTATTATTTTTGGCTCACTCAGTACCAGAACAACGGTCCCAAGCAGTCCCAAGCTATTTCACTCACCCCTGCATGTTCTGCATGAATCCACACACCCCTGATGTTATCTGTCAAACTTTCATAGCGAATCAAAACAAACATAGTGTAGTAATAGAATTTCAACTAGAATAGGGTACGTTAATCGTTTGCTTGGGACCAATAGGCTACTAAAGTGGTGAGCCAATTTAAAATCGTTAGTTTCGTATTGATTGTTGGAACAACCGTGTTTCTTCAGGAAAGGCAGCAGACGTTTATTTAAACACTCTTTCACGTAAATTTCTTGGTTGACAGTCCCGGAAGCTATGAAAATGCTGCTTTTCAAGCCCCAGGTACAGATGGCTTGCCAAACCAGATATTTCTTTGCGAACTTTGACAGTTTCATGTGCTTGAAAACATCTGCTACCTTTCCCCTTCCTTTTGCCGTATAAAACTCCTGTCCCGGAAGCTGCTTGTAGTCGGCTTTGACGTAGGTTTCGTCGTCCATTACCACGCAGTCAAACTTCGTCAGCATCGTCGTGTACAGCCTCCGGGATCGCGCTTTGGCCGTCGTATTTTGTTTATCATCGCGATTTGGAGTCACTACCTTCTTGTAAGTCGATAGTCCGGCTTGTTTTTTGGCTCGATGCACGGTTGTAGACGATACACCCAGCTTATTTGCGGCATCTCGGAGAGAGAGGTTAGGGTTTCGCTTGAAACTACCAGCAACTCTCTTTGTCGTCTCAGCGGCTTCCGGTTTTCGATTTCCCCCCGATCCAGACTTCCTGGCTGTCGACAAACGTTCCCCAAACACTTTAATTACATTTGTAACGGTTGATTTGGCAACTTTTAGCGATTTTGCCAACTTTGCGTGCGAGTAGCTCGGATTTTCGCGATGCGCGAGCAAAATTTTGATACGCTGCTCTTCTTGCTTGGACGGCATTTTGACAACTGAAGAGTGAATTCCAAAATCAAAATAGGAGCAACATTCTACACACACACACCTTCAAAATGAGGGGTGTTCAGGTTTTTTAAATGCAAAATTAAAAGAAATACATCAAGTTGATATTGACCAAATTTTGACCGTATCACCCTTTACTACAGAAATATAGAAAAAAATAAGCATTAATTCCATGAAGTATTGAAATTATTGTTGTCTAGTGGCCCGACAAGCCCCAACGACCCCAGTGATGCTAACGCTTACGATCAAACGAGTCCACACCCAGGCCGTGGACAGGGGATCGCCAAGCGTGTGGAAGGTCAGCAAAAAGGGCGTCGATCGATACGATCGACCGATCTTAAACAAAACAGCCATTGAAGAAAGTGCTCAGCCGGTTGCTTACCCTTTTTTAAAATTGCCTAATTCTATCGTTAAACCTACACAGCAAAAAAAGTTGTTGAATATTACATCGAAACTGCTGCAACCAGGTCAATCCATCGGTTGTGTAATATCGCATTGTACGATGTACATTGATTTTGCGAACAAAATTACATCCATTGATGTAATATTGTATCTGCGTTTTGCTATTACATCATTATTTCATACATCAGCTTGAATTACGTTGATCGATATTACATTTTTTTTTTGCTGTGTGGTGTTAGACTACCTTAAAGCTATTTAATTGCTGCTACTAAATTGGATTAATAGTACTAGATTAGGTACTAGTGAAATTATTGAACTTTATCAACTAATTGCTATTCTATTGGAAGTGCCGATTAATCTAAACCTACATTTCCTAATTAATTCATACCTTTCTAAACTTAAGGGCTGTTCATAAACTACGTAGACAGTTTACGGGGGGGGGTTTGGAAATTATCCACGGACCATACAAATTTTAAAAATTTTGTATGGACAATTGTCTACGCAGGGGGAGGCGGGGTGTCAAGAATCCCAAAAATCTGTCTACGTAGTTTATGAACAGTCCCTTACCTAAGTTACCCAGAGCGGAAGAATAGGAAGAAAACCAACTCATCCATCATTGCGGTAACGAATCACCAAAAGAAATTTGTAATCTTTTCCATTCGTTTGCCGGAATAAAATTAACAAAATCTACGGATTCGTTTATCGCCCAACAATTGTTAAATAACTAATCAAAAAATTTAATTACGTATTGTTTATTGTCATTACTAAAAAATCTCAAATTTATTCTCAATAATTACTGCATCACATTAAATATAGATAAATAATTTCAATGCAACGAAGCAAACATATGATTGTGCGTACACCGCGTTTGCCAGTGTATTCACTAATGAGATACTAAATGACGACCATATTACCCTGGCTGCCAGGAACGTTCCAGTTAATGATCAAACGCTGGACCTAATGAATTTCCATCTGTATTTTTTGAGACATATTGCTAGCTTGTAAATTCCGCTTCATCGTCTGTTCCGCATGTCTTTCTCCAGTGCCATATTTCCATCCTGCTGGAAATTTGCGCCCATGCACACATGTCCACAAAAAGGGAAGGAAACTAGCTGTGGATAACTATCCAGGAATGACATTGTTAAGTGCCGTTTCGAAGCTATTCGAGCTAGCGATTATGGTAGCAGTATTTGAGTGCTGATCAAAATGGGTTTACTGTCGGTCGCTCTACAACCACCAATCTGCTGTGTCTCAGATCGTATATATATATATATTACTGACAGCATGTAGAATCGGGTGCAAACGGACTTTATTTATTCATACCTATCCGCAGCATTCGACAAGTTGAACCATACTATTGGTAATCTTCTGAGTTGTTTTCGATCGTATCTTAATGCTGGTCGCCAACTAATGGGTGCCATAAGAGATTGTAGATCACCATCGGGTATGGTATTTTTATTAGGGAAACAGTTCGATTTATGCACTTTAATAATAAGAAGCGAAACGACAAACGTACACTTTTCACGGGTTTCTCTGCGCTGTTACTTAAGACAAATGGCATCTCTATAGAATTCGGGTGACTTAAGTAACGTCGAAAAATATTTTGATCGGAAGGTGGTTACGGCAAAGAGCAATTTGAGTGGTAAATAAATTTATAAATGGGATGTGATTTTATATTCGGACAGCATATTGTGTAATAGCAGGAGTATCGATTGATACTGATATCTATTTTTCCTCGATTTTGTTTTCCGTCGATCTTGTTTTCCGTCAGAGATTGAGTTGATCAGAGATGTTATGCCTCAGAATATCCAAGCGGCACCGACTGGGATTGAACCCAGGCCTGCTGGGGTGAGGTAATCACGCTTACCACTACACCTCCTTAGTTTAGTGCATGTCGTATTACTCCATCACTATTGAGAAATGATGAAGTATTCGGTTTTGATACAGTCGTCATTCTTGCCTTCATCTCAAGGAATCGATTATTATTGAAAGGTCCCGCTATTTATACCATTCGGAGTGTTGGAACACCCTCCAAAGGCGCGCCCCTTTGTCAGTCAAAATTGGATTCCTTAGCAACAAAAATAAGCTATGACACCGATAATGACCATGCATCAGAACCCTCTTAACCACTTCAAACTAGGGAACAACGAATAAAAGTTTAGGAATCACATAGGTGAAGACTAACTAACTCGTTTTTTCCTTGTTTCAAGACCATCCTCGGATTTTGACAGTTCTTACAGCAATACATATGCAATTTTTTATACAGTACACACAGACAAATAGACATAACACTCACAAATTGTTCATCAAACAAGCATTTAACGGTCAATTTAAAAGTATCGTAGTTGGTAGTATTGCCACCTGTGGCACGCATAGTCAATTCCCTTGCGTTTGACGTTTACACACTACCGCCATCTGATACGCCATACTGCCCACCACAGTGTGCTCAACAGATGGCGGTAATGTTTTAGCGACGATGTTTTACAGTGAGAAATAATCAATGTGTTATGTCTGTTTGTCTGTGCAGTACATATGGACCTGGAGAAGACTATATTCTTGTTTTTTGTATAGCATAGTTCGAACGAAAACAAGAATATGTGTGTAAATCCTTGATTAAATGCCCCTTGCTATAAAGTGAATCAAATAGCGAATTTGTTTATTATCCAGGTTGGAACCAGTTCCAACCCGTGCGAACCCGAGCTTATTGTCTGTGCGAAACTCAACCCGAGCCAGATTACAAAAACAAACGTTTACAGTGACATTTGACAAACAACAAGCCGCTCCAACCTTGATACCCGATCCAGGTTGGAACTGAATCGAAAACAAATTCGCTAAAAGTAACACCACTAACAAATAAAACAATGTTTTTTTCCAATTATCATCACTATATTAAGTAAACGCTGATGTCACATTACGTTTTCTGTCATTTAATTTGCATTTAGTAATCAATTAGAATGTTATTGTTGTGCAACACTTGCGATTTATTTATTGATAAATCTTTGGATACGAGCACGATTGTTTGACTATAGAATTCTTCATATGTTGCACAAAGCCGAATACATTTTTGTTTTCACTCATGAATATGAATAAAACGAGTTTACTTTACTTTCCCGTGCAGTTCTTACGGAACGAGTAAACTCTTTTATTCGTATTTTATCGGTAGAGCATGCAATCTGATGTGTACGAGATGGTAACTACTGTATCCTTTTTCTACGCCTTTTGATTCATTGGGTTTTCAGGCGATTTCTGCCATTCCTTGAAGATCATCTGTTTGAGCTGAGATAATTTTAGAGAAGGATATTCCTGCTTCATGATAGGTAACTGCTCGTCTTCGTAAGCCTTAAAAGCAGCCTTCATACGTTTTTCAGGGTGTCGATCCTCACCGTCTTTGACGGCAAGAACGGCGATAGCTTGATCTATAGATTGAGCAACTTCTGTTTCGGCCATAAGTCGGTTATAGTTCTCTTCAATTGGCACTTCCTTAGGAACAGTTGGTTTCGGGGGATTATTCACAGACTCAATAGCTCGGTTACGTTTCACTACTTCGGCATCTATTTGGGCGCGGGTAATCTTTTGGACAGATACCTTAGGGGCAGTCTTTATGGAATTCATTTCCTGCTCCAGTAGCACTTTTGCTTCCGCCTTTTTTCTTGCCTGCTCGAGACGTTTACGCTCTTCATCTTCCTGAAAATGACATCAGTTTAGATCGATCCACAATGTAGCAAGCCACATCAAACCTTTTGTTTCTTCTTTTTAGCCAGCAACTTATCATCGTCCGCCCACAGTGCATCTTCCGCAACTTTGGCTGCTTTTTCAGTTGCAACCTTCTTTGCTTCAGCTTTGCGTTCTCGGGCTTCTACAGCCTTGCTGTTAGTTCCCATTTTCTTCGGCATTTTTATCTGTTCAAGGCTAAACACAAAAGAACTATTCACAAAAATCCAAACGCTGATAAAATTCGTTGGTTTGTTCCAAAATTCTTGCTTATTTCACCGATATCCCAAACAGGAGATTCACAGAAAATATGTTTCTGTAATTTACAGTTCAAGCGTCACTTTTCAAATCGACGTATCTGATTTTGTAAACAAACACTTCAATCGATGATTATTGTTTGTGGCAACTGCTTACTCTCTCACACAAACAAGCAACACCAGCTGGTGCATTATTTTCCGATTCGCTACCTTATGGTGACAATAGTAACGAACTGTTGGCGTGGGTGAGCTAGCAGTTAAGACAAAAATTTCGATTGAAGTGATTGTTTACAAAATCAGATACGTCGATTTGAAAAACTGACGCTTGAATTTACGTCTTCACGTTTCGATGGTTTCGATTTGTTATGACTGTTTACACGCTATTTCTATACAACCCAAATTTGAGTATGATCCACTCTCGGCTATCCGCTACACGGCGAATGAGAACACCCCAAATTTGAGTATAGTTCACTCATAATCGCCAAAAGTTTTTTTTTTTTTTTCAATTATTATAGAGATTTTTAGCCATAGGCTAGTTCATCTCTTAATCGCCAAAAGTGCAGGAGCTCAGCGATGAGTAAAATTTGTCTCATTGTGTTTAGTATCATCAAATTTATGATCAAAGCACAAAACTGACATCTGCGTCGTGTTCGCGAAAATTGTGTATCCTAACCACGAACACGCATACAAACTGTATGAGTTGGTTCGTGTCTAATCTATTCCGGGTAAATTATTTTTATCTCACTGATAAAAATAGTATGGTATCGCTTACTATTGAAATGTGTTTAATTATACTATGACAGTTCATAGTAAAATCAACCGATATTTCTTTCCATTCTATTATGTTTTTAACTTATTTACTATGCTCCCCATAGAATTTCATGTAGTATTATTAATAACATTCATGGTTAAACAATACTTCAAATTTACCATGTTACCTTGAGAATATAGTAACATCAACAGAAATGCTGTTTGGTAGGAACACAAAACGATTACTATTTCACTGCTAACCGTGGTAATCACAGATTATTGCATGATCGCCATTTTGTAAAAACTCATTCGACAAGTGTGCATCAGCGGGTATTTTTCATGTTGCAGATAAAGTTGAACTATTGAAACATTCCTGGAATCATTGCTGTTAGAGAGGTAAAACTCATTAACAGTAAACAATTTTAATTTAATTAAGGTTTATTTGTGTGGAGGCAGACAAAATACCGGAACAGCAGAATTTTCTCGATCAGGAGCTAGATTCATCTGTTTATGGCAATTGGTAATCAGTAACAACTATTAAATATACAAATTTTAACATTATATTTTTGACAGGCTTCGAACCATATGGAATAACGGACACAAACATGCACTATGATAAAAGCACAAACGAAGTGACAGACGGAGCGGCTCGAAATTTGATTTGACGCACTTACATTTTCAATTTTCGAGTGTACCTCACGGCAACACTATCTACTCATATGTACTAGATTAAACTAGGGGGTACCGCCTGTTATCTCTTTTTCTCTAACGAAAATTGAAAGGGAGGGCCTGTTGTCAAACAGCATGTCATTATATCGCTTCTTTTGTATAATGAAAGACCATAGGCCAAAATGATTAGGGATGAACACATCGGGTTAACATTTGCTTACAAGTAAACGATGTTGAGCTGTCAATGACTCGCGCTTGTTGCAATTGTTGCTACAGATTTCTTCAGTCCGTGCTAGAAGCAACAATCAATACGAAACTAACGATTTTAAATTGGCTCACCACTTTAGTAGCCTATTGGTCCCAAGCAAACGATTAACGTACCCTATTCTAGTTGAAATTCTATTACTACACTATGTTTGTTTTGATTCGCTATGAAAGTTTGACAGATAACATCAGGGGTGTGTGGATTCATGCAGAACATGCAGGGGTGAGTGAAATAGCTTGGGACTGCTTGGGACCGTTGTTCTGGTACTGAGTGAGCCAAAAATAATAATGATTTTCTTCGGGACCTACTAGTCTTAGAGTTACCTCTATGCTAGAAGCCTAAGTCACAGTCATTCGCGACCGAGAAGACAGACATCGTTGTTGGACGCCAAACAGAACCCGGCCATACTCGGTATGCTGGTATACATTCACTCCTCCGTAGCGGAACTGGAAGGATCCACCCAAGCTGCCGGATATCAGTTTTGTTTGCTCCAGCTTCTTCTTATTATTCTGCAGAACCAGACAGTGCGAGTACTGGTCGTGTTTGCCAAACCAACCGGTGGAATACTAATCTGAAAGCCGATTTCTTAGGCACGTTGCATTTGTCGCAGTAGATGGTCACTTGCTGCTGCACTTTCGTGGAGCGGATTACAATCGCCGTGGCAGTAGTTCGTACAGATCGATCACTGGATCGATATCAACCCGATAGGTATGGCCGGCATGCTTCGCGTAGTGACGCTCGCTCATGTCACGGGGAATCCTTTCCGAACAGGCGGCGCATTGAAACTTCTGTACGAATCGATCGGGACATAGGATTTGATGTCACGCTTTTGTCTCTTGCTGCCTCGACTGCTCAACCTCTACTTATTCATCATTCAAAACATTTTCCGGTACGGGTGCGGGTAGTGGATGTCCCTGTCGAATTGGTTGATTAGACGAGATCATCGTCATCGACAAGTACCAGTTATCAAACTTTCCAGCTATCATGCAGATGAAGTTTTCAACTGAGTAATCTCTTCCACCTATGCAGCACAAGCTCGGTTAACAAGCTGCGGCAAGTTTTTACGTCGATGCAAATGGGAAATTGGAATTCAATCTGAAATTGAAAACCAACCCTAATAAAATTGTTATGGTTATTTTGCTTAACGACGTGTTCGGGGTATCATCCAAACCATTTGTTGAATAGTTTTATTATTTTGGTTTTCGTTCATGTATGGTAGTTTTTTATTAGGGAAACAGTAAAAAAAAAGTTGTTGAATATTACAGCAGATAAGCTGCACATAACATATACACATTAATCCAGTCAGTAATGTTTTACTGGGTTTTTGAATTGCCTACTGTTCGAAAAAAGTTTAAAACTCTGCAGGAAATTCAAAAATATGAAACTTTTTCTGAACTTGTACAGATAAAGTTCTGTTAATCTCATTTCTTTTTTTTTTCCTTTGATTTGTTTTTCGTCGATCTGGTTTTCCGTACTGAGCACCAATGCTACCGATGCCAGCACTGATAAAAATCCCCTTATACATTTTGGCAAATTTCCATTGCTGATTATTCATAAAATGTATAAGGCTACCACCAACCAATTTGTTCCGAACGGCCGGAAGACCAAGCTGAGGCATGGGATGCTCACTATGCCCCACTTGTTCACTATGCCCCTCTTACCCTTACCATAAAATCACAACGAAAATCATGGTATATGAGAAATGTACAATAAAATAGGGGGCTTGTTAAGCTAAGCATCTTAAAAATAAAAAAAATGATTTTTGTCGAACAAATTTGATCTCATCAAATTAATTTTCATTGATAATTGTATCGTTAAAAACGAAATTTATTATTCCTCCTTTCCAATAATTTAATAATAAATTTTTAATGTGCCCAAAATTCAACCGTAAAATTCATTGTAATTTCGTTATTTTATTATATTTTTTTTTGCGTCCATCCTCGGTATGCATTCGTTACTCCGTAGCGGAACCGGAAGCTCTCGACGAGGGCGATCTAAAGGAGGAAAATTTACTCCAAAATCGTGCCGAGATCCATCGAATCAAAGAGGCGATCGACGTGCTGGAGGTGAGAATGAAGGAGGATCGGATGAAACTGATTTTTTTTTTAATTTATTACGGCTAGAGATGCTGTATGTCAAGCGTTTGAGCATGATTGCGGTACGATCAGCTGGCTGGCATGCCGCCATGTTATTGAAACCAACATCTGAAACGTCACAATTCCAGTGTGAACTGCAAAAATGGCGTGACTGAATTGTCTTATTTTTATCAAATGAAATTATTTTCCCTTTTATGCCATATAAATGGTTGACTTCGTGGAAGAAAATCAGAAAATAATATTTTATGAGTCCTAAGTTTATTTTTCACAAAATGTAAGCAAAAATATTAAGAATATCCATAATATCAGTCACGCCTTTTTTGAAATTCTGGCTTGAATCTTCTATTTGTTTACAAATTATGAGCTGTCAGTGGGGCCCGCAATTCGCGGGTCCGCAGCGATGTTAGCTCTTTTCAAGGCAAGGCAAACAAGATAGGGATGCCAGCTAGCTGGGTACGATGCACTATTCTGGACTGGTCTACTATACGTGGCAAAACTAGTCATTATACCTGATACGTGTACCTTGTTACTTGAAGACGAGGAGGGAATCTTCGGATTCATGGAGGAGGACATCGGACATCAGAAATGAGGAAGCTCGTATGCGAGGACAAAAGTGTTACATCTGCAAGGGTTGATGCATATATTATGTCACGCTCTAGGGGGGGGGGGGGGTTCTAAGATTTTGTGACAAGCAATGCATTAGGTATAGGAAAAACGTCACGATAGGGGGGGGGGGTAAATTTCTCTTCGATTTAGCGTGACAAAATTAATGCATGGGCCCCAAGGAACGGTATGCGAACGTTTTGTGTTGCACGAAGAAGTGCTTCCGTTCATTTCAGACGCTTTGTGGGATGCAGAATGAGTGCCTGTCGCATTACGTGGATACGTTCCAGTCGTGGTGCGATAAGCACGTAGCGCTGGTGGGTAAGGTGAAATAATCCGGGACCGAAGCCTGTGGGATTTGCTACGATGAGATGGGACCGTACAGGAAGCTGGAATCGATTCGTGCTGTCAGAATGTCTGGTTCCATCGGAGCTGCATGGCACAGTTTGCCCAATCGGCGGGGTACTTTTTCAAGTGCCCTTTGTGCAACAACAAGGACGACTTTAGTCAGCAGATGCAGCAGCGTGGCATTTATATTCCACTGCCACGAAGAACTTCCGTCGAAAACTTCGAGGAACTTCCGTCGAAAAATTGCTTCGAGCCAAACCGGTCGTATCAAATCGTTGACTTCTTCGGACAATGAAGACGAAGCATCCTCCGCCGGATCGTCGACCGTGTTCGATTTCAACTATCGTGTGAATTTAACCAAA